TCGTGGCTCAGAAGACTTCACCGGAGGCATTGGAGCTCAGTGCCCGTAACACCGAGCTAGCGAAGAGGAACAAACACCACCATCATCTAGGCCCCGGTGGCTACTGTGCCAAGGAAGAGCAGTTTAGGAAGATGGATGAAGAGGCCGCAGCTGCTGGGAATATCGATGTGATGAATTTGAAGGTACGCTCAAGGAACTGGATATATGCGAGGAGTACAGAATCATTCGGCGGTAATCTTAAGTTTGATAAGCCGGAGACCCAAGAGGCAGTATCAAGGATACTGAAATATGCTGAAGACAAGGAGAAGGGCTCATTCAATCCTTCCAGAGAGAGAGACGAGCTTAGCCTTGGCTTGGGAAATAAGGAGCACACAGGCCGCACCAGGGGGCTTAGGAAAAGGACGACCTGGAAGCAAGGATTCAAAGAGGACAGGCACATGTACAAGAAATATGGCAGAGACCGGGAGACTAGTCTTGAGCTCCAAGTGAAGGCTCTAGTTGCGAAGGCGCTGGAGGAGCAAGGACTGTCTATGGAGCCACAGATATTAGTGACGCCGCCGGGAGAACTGGCATTAGTTGGCAGCCCTCTGAAAGTTCCTAGCAGCCAAGGTTCCACTGTAGCCACAACCCTAGTCAACCACATACGGGAACCAACTAGTTGTACCTTGGTGTTTCTCAGCAGCCGGCATAACACTATGATGGAGGTGGCAACGGGTGTAGCACATCCTCCCGGTGGCTTACACCACAATAATAAGATACCGCCGGACTACACTAGGGTCGAGGTGCATACAGTGAAGCCCGAGTTCATGCAGTGGAGGATAGACTACGCAACTCCCGAGGGGCTGGTGTTACTCGGAGACGTTATGGGGCAGTTCATCCTTTGGCACAAATGGGACATTATATTGACTGCTTCTTCGCCGCCTTCCCCTCTCCCAAATTTAGAGCGAGTTGTTGAGGTCGGGGAGATATTTTCACCGTCTTGTGACCCCCACATTCCTGAGATGCCACATTCTTCCCCGCCTCCTAGCGAGCATGTGCCTGATGAGATGCCACAACCTTCTCCAGCTCGTACCGAGCAAGTGCATCATGAGATACCACAGTCTTCTCAACAAGCACAGCCGATACATGAACAACGAGTGCCTCCTGAAGAAGGTGATGCACAAGAAGATGAGGATGTGTCTGAATGGGAACTTCGAAAGAAGCATCCAATCACCATAAGGCCAGTTTATGTTTTGATCAAAGACGTCTCGTCGGTGTCCAAGTGGTTTTCCCATAACCAGTTCAAGCTTGAGAACCAAGTTAAAAAAGTCTCATCATGGGGTTCTGAGGAGGCCATCACTAGCAAACTCCACCAAATTGCAAAGCAGTATCCAAATATTGATGCCATCAAATGGTCAAACAATTGTCCGAAAACATATGAAAGAGGCAAGCCCTTCCTACCAAACCGGGACATCCAGCACCTACCACTTGGAATAAGAAGGTTCCATGATTGGTACTTGCGTGTTCTCCCAACGAGCATAGATCTCATGCAAGCATGCTTCCCCACCGGCACATTTGGAAGCCCAGCCAGGAAAATTGTCTTTGACTTCAATGACATGCACACATGCTTTCACCTGGGAGAAATGGAGATGAATCTAATTTGCACGTGGTGCCTATAAGTCCTTGTCCTCTTGATATGATATGAATGTAATCTTTGAATTTTGTTGTAACTAACCCACGCCGTGATTTGTAGAATGCAAGTGCACATTGTCAAACAAATGCCAAGTGTGAAAGCCAGATATGTAGACCCTCAAGCTATAGCCCAAACAAATTTTAATTACCCTAAACGGTGGACACTGGATGCCAAAGAGCTAGCTGCTGCAAAGACTCTTTGGGAGAAAGAGCGCATCCGTACGGTCAAACTAAGGGAAGAGTCCCTTAAGGTTGCGGCATACATTGCCCTGGCTTTCAAAAATCTCCAACAACACTCTACTATATGGCTACCATACAACTTCGAGTAAGTTCAACTCTATACTTAAAGCTTTGTTCGATATATTTTATTCGATGCAAAAGAGCTTATCTAGTTCTATGATTAAATCCATGCAGCAACCACTGAATTTGTATAGCCGTCGATGTCGGGAGGAGCATGGCATGGGTCTTTGATTCATTAGATAGGGACACGGTGACATATAAAGACTTCGTATCGATTCTCAAGACATATACATATCGACAATCCTTATTAGCTTATATGTTTGTATACATACTTGTAACGTTCACTTTTGGATACTAACAAGTTGTATTTGCTAAAATAATTCGAACAGGGCATTTAGGTTCTATGTCAATAATCATCATAGAAGGCATGATCCAGCAAGGAAGGAAAAGCTAGCTATAAAAACACTATGTGTGGTAAGTGTAACTTACTTCTTCAGTACTCCATTATATGGTTGTCAAAAGCATTACTTAACATTTTCATATGCAAAACACACAGTGCCCCAAGCAGAAGCCTGGGAGTGTACATTGTGGATACTATATATGTTCTATGATGAGTAACACTGGTGCCTACAGGAGACACCCCTTAAGGGTAAGTTTGAACCTCTTCACCCGTAGTATAAAAACTTCGTACATGGTATGAAATACTAAACCGAAACTTATTCTCTTGTAGTGGAGAGAAGAGAAGGGAATGAAAAGAGACCCATACAAGGATGACCAACTCTTAGAGCTCGTCAGTAACCTTTGCAACTTCATATTGGACCAGATTGTACATGTCAGAGGCGCCTACCATGACCGAGAGTCTGAGTTAGGTACAAATCCTCAATACCAACACCTTCGTGAGACTAAAAGGCTAGCTCTAGGACGTTGATAATAATGTGTATATAATTTGTATATTTAATGATGTATTGTATATATTCTTGTAAATTGGACTTGTAATTGTAGTTTATAAAATACTCTTGTGCTTGTAGTCGCGGTTGCGGGGCGTTCGGCAACGTGAACGCGGTTCGGAACGTTGGTCGCGGGGTGTTCGGCAACGCGAACGCAGTTCGGAACGTTGGTCGCGGGACGTTCGGCAACGCGATTTTGAATTGTAAATTTGATTTTTTACGGGAAAACGTACTGTAGGGGCAGTTCTAAATTGAACCGCCCCCACAAATACCTGTTTATAGGGGCGGCTGGTACTACAGCCGCCCCTACAAATCGATTTGTAGGGGCGGCCTAGGAACCGCTCCTACAAATGCATGATTTGTAGAGACGGTTCGGTAGGGGCGGCTGACCAAACCGCCCCTATAAATGGTTACGAGCCGCCCGTAAAAATCGATTATGTAGTAGTGATTGAACCCAAGTGGACAGCTTCGACAAAGAAACCCAAACCAATTAAGTTGCATTACACCTAGTTTTAAAAGGCTTACATCGATATTGGATGGTGAATCTAATAACATTCAATATAATCTATATATTGTGTTTTAGATATGACGATCTGGATCAAAAGACTTGACCTGATAACAATCCTAATTAAACCAACTTAAATTAAATAATTAAATTAACTTAGATTAAATAAAATGAAGCTCTCGTTGGTTGCCCTTCACAGAAACAGTGACGTCCTGATAGTTCTGTCTGCCTACTTGCTCAATTTGCATATATATCTACCCTACACAACGCAATCCCTGCTGCGTTGTTTCAACATAGTTTACTTGGCAGGTCGTTGTTCATGACCGAAGCAATCTTAAGTAATGGCACGCAACTTCCATGCCATTCGTAGGGAAGAAATACTGGGATAAGCACAGGCAGCGACGTCAAGGCAAATGAGCGCTGAGCTCGGCTACTCACGAGTAGATTGATTATTAGTTGGGGCATCGCTTTTCCGGGCCCGCGGGCGCAGTGGGCTACAGCAACACTGAAATTAGCCGGCAATATATCAGGTGGGGACTGTTCGTCCCCCGTCGTTTCCATAAAAAAACAAAACAAAATAGCCGGCAATATATCAGGTGGGGACCATTAGAAAAAGAAGCCGGCGATATACTTGACTTGACTCCATGACTTGATATCTTCCTCTAATACAATGTCTTCTCACCTGCTGCATCTCCAGTAGTGATTGTTGTGCATATATACACCATTGCACTACACACTGTCCTAGTGAACTCCCCAGAGTAAATCTTCTTTATCGTCTGTCCAAGGAGGAATCATGACAGTAAGCTTGGGTTTCTGTTCACTCTAATATAAATCACTTGCCAATTATTTTACTCAACTTTTGATGAATGATGTTTGTGTTCACTACTTTCGTATCCCTCGTCTCTGAAACTAAACCATATCGTCGTGTCGTGTCTTTGCAGATCGTAGAGATGCATGTGAACATGGACTGCGACGGCTGCGAGGGCAAGGTCAGGAGGGCCCTGGAAAAGCTCGAAGGTGCGTATATGTATGTAGTAGCACGAAAGTGTTTCATGATCACCCACGCAATGCAAATCCACCAGGATTGTATGCTTGACTGCTCGATTCTCCTCTTCCTCCAGGAGTGCACCACGTAAGCATAGACAGGATGCACGGCAAGGTGACGGTCACGGGATCGGTGAGCCAGAAGAAGGCGCTCCGCGCGGCGCGGCGCACGGGCAGGCTCGCCGTGCTGTGGCCGTCCGCCTACAACCCGGCGTACCCCCAAGCCCGCGCGCAGCCGGCGGCCTACTACCAGTACCAGTACCAGGCCAAGCCCGTGCAGGCGCAGCAGCACCAGTACTACAGCAGCGTCCCGCGCGCCGGCAAGAACAGCGGCAGCGGCGTCCCGGCGGTGGCCAGCAGGAAGCCGGTGGCGCAGCAGTACCCCCAGGCCAAGGCCAGCTCCTACAACTACCGTGTCCACGGGTACTATGACTCCGAGCTTTACGGGAACTACCAGGAGCAGCCCGGCGAAGTAGTGCCAGCCACTTGGCCCAGCCGTTAAGAACCCCGTTGCTCTGCCGAAGTCGGGAGAGTCGATCCACGACGCCACCTGCGATGGGGATGAGGACAAGGGGGAGGGGGAGGTGAATGGGATGGAGAGGATGGGTAAGGAGAAGAAGAAAGATGAAAAGGAGAAGCGGAAGCAGAAGTGGAAGCGGAGGGAGGATGAGATAGGGATGGTAGAGCAGGGGAAGAACGAGAATAAACAAGAAAAAGAAAACGTGGAGAAGGGCAATGCAGGAGGAATTCTGACTAACAAAATTTTCTCAGAGCTCTACATATCCGAGTTCACTGCCAAGGCCATCAGAGACATGAACTACACCCACCTCACCGAGGTCATTCTTGCCTACGCCTAATTTTTTTTTTGTCGTAACATCGTCCCTTTGGCGAGATATATACTTTGTGTTCTCCGTACAATTCCATAATTAGATCTAGTTGATTGAATGTTTCTGCTGATGATTATTGCATTATGTCGTCTGCTCTTTGCTGGGCTGTTGGATTTTGGTATTACTGTAACGGCGTGTATGCATGCATGGTTCTTTACATGATTCCAGATTCAAGCTAGATCAATACCGCATCCTATGCTAGGAAGTGATGTGCTGGGTTCAGCCAAAACTGGCTCAGGGAAGACACTTGCCTTCCTTATACCGGCGATCGAACTGCTGCACAAAGCATGCTTCACGCCAAGGAACGGAACTGGAGTTATTGTAGTTTGCCCAACAAGGGAGCTTGCTATCCAGTATATATATATATATATATATATATATATATATATATATATATATATATATATATATATATATATATATGACTCAACAGTATTTCTCTTTAATTCCATTTTACATGTTTTGTGACTCTTCAACTTGCTTTGAATGAAACAATCAAAATCAGATGTACCAACTGAGATAAGCGTATCCTTTGCTAAGATAATGCTTGTGTAAATATAATGTATCAAAAGTCAGTTTTATAGTGTATCTTCATGTCGGATGGTTGCCGAGACTTCGTTCATATGGACTCACATTTCACTATCCCTAATTATGTGTTCCATTCATTCTTTTGTGCTAGACACAAAATGTTGCCAAGGAATTAATGAAGTATCACTCACAAACTCTTGGATATGTAATTGGTGGCACTAACATAAGAAATGAGGCCAACCAGCTTGTGAAAGGGATCAATCTGTTAGTTGCAACACCAGGCAGGCTTTTGGACCATCTGCGAAGTACCAGTGGTTTCAACTATAAAAGGCTCTACAGGTAAAACATTCTGGTTATTATGGTATTTTTCCAAGTTTCAAGGAAACATTTCTGTTGAAATAGCGTGCATATTATAATTAACACGCTAAATAACAAATACAACCAGCAATTTCATACTTCTCTACTCTACATGCATAATCTGTCACCTGATTTGTTTCATATATTAATTCTTTGTGTTTTTCTACCTTTTCATTGTCCTGTTAATACTGAATTAGAGTATAAATGAAATTTCACCATACATTATGCCAAAGTATATGCAAAATCATAAAAGCTAATAGTTTATATTCTTTATAAAGTTATTCATCCATTATTAGCAATGTTATGTGGGTTGGCAAAGTCCAGTGGATGTATTGTTGTTTGTTATTCTGTAGATAAAAGCTTTTTTTCCATATCTGTCACCAATACTAAATTCCATTTTCAGATGAAAGGAATATATAATTGCACAGTCAATACATTGTTGTGCAGGGATGGAATTGATTGTGCTGTTCACTCATACCTTGGCAAATGGAATATTTTGCCAACTGTGCTGGACTGCCCCATGGGCAAGTCCAGGTTCACTGGCTCATGTGCCATGGGTCCTGTTTTGCAGGAAAATGACATTGATTTTCATGAAAACTCATGTTTAAGGCAATGGATGTAATTCCTGACCTATATGTACTCTATTTTTAACATGACTTTCTATGTTGTAGTGCCTCATAATTGACGAAGCTGATCGCATACTTGAGCAAAATTTTGAGGACGATATGAAACAAATATTTAAACGACTCCCTTGGTTATGTGATAATCTGACAAGTTCATTTCATATGCGCAGTGCAGCGTTTTAACTTTTCTACTGAGATTGTTGTATTTTGTCCTCGAATTGCTATGCATCATACACAGGATAGGCAAACTGTTCTTTTTTCAGCCACACAGACTCAAAAGGCCAGTGGATCTGTTTGTTAGCATATTCAAAATCTCATCCCCTTTTTTTCTGTCGGTGCCATTGTTTATATGCTTTCATCCCACAGGTTGTAGATTTTGCGAATTTTACATTTGGACAGAATAAAGAAAGACAAAGGAAACTTGTTTATGTTGGAGTTGATGATTCTAAATTGAAGGTCTGTTTCACAATGCTGTTCAACTCTATTTTAAAGATTTTTTTTTATCTATTTGGTATGAGAAATAACTTTGATGCTCTTACAGCCTACAGTTGAGGGCTTGCAGCAGGGTTATTGTGTCATTCCAAGCGAGAAAACGTTTCTGGTTCTGTATGCTTTCCTAAGAAGGATGCAGCTTAGGGAGCAGGATGTGAAGATCATAGTGTTCTTTTCGTCATGTAGCTCAGTCAAGTTCAATGCAGAACTTCTAAATTTCTTTGGGATAGAGTGTTATGATATCCATGGGCAGCTGAAGCAACAGAAGCGAACTCGTACATTCTTCCGATTTTTGGGCTGTGTTTTTAAATCATGTACCAATCCTTTCTGTACCCTTCTCTAACCTATGGACCCCTTGTCTCGTTTAGGACTATATTGTGCAATATGATCCTCCAGATGACCCAAAGGTAAGTGGTTCTGAACCTTCCTAAATAAATTATCTATTTTTCTCAAATTTTCTAACTTGGCATTGGAATTCAATTTGTAGGATTACATTCATAGGGTTGGTCGTACTGCCCGAGGTGATGAAGGCAAAGGAAGTGCATTATTGTTCTTACTGCCGGAAGAATTGAAGTTGCTTATTGACCTGCAGGTAATGTGCCTTCCCCACCCCTCCTCCCTTCTCCCTCTTATATTAAGAGGAACCTCGAAGTATATGAGGCGCTGTTTTAAACTTTAATGTGATCATCTTTTTCTCCATCATTACATATTGTCTGGATACAAAGTCAATATAGTGTGTTGGGAAGTACTCTGAAATATGGATATTGTTGTTTGATTTTATATGTTAAAGCATTTTTTATGATTTTTACATCTCCGATTATGATATTCCACGTAATTGGATTGAGGAAGTAACACATTCAGTGTTTGCTTGCAGGCAGCCAATATTTCTCTGACTCAATATGTGTTCAGTGAGAAGCATGTGCCTAAATCGCAATCACAACTTGTGAGTGTCTCTTTCGCAATTCAATCTTGTTGTTTCAATGTGTAGTATTTAACTTGAGTTTTGGAGCAGGAGAACATTGTTGGTGGGAATTACTTCCTAAATCAGTCAGCAAAGGAAGCCTATAGGTCCTACCTTTTGGCATACAACTCACACTCTATGAAAGACATTTTTTATGTCCATCAACTTGATCTCACGGTACATACTTGTGAAGTTCTTTCCTAAGGCTGTCCTTGGTTTGTGTGCATTTATCTGTACTCTGGTTATTTTATTTAACTTGCAAAATCTTACATAGTCAAGTACAAGGACAATGAATGCACAATACAAATTGTCTATCTGTCACCATTTTTTGGTGGAGCTGCGAGGATGAGGTAATACTATTTCTAATTTCTTTCTTTCTTTCTTTCAGAAAGTTGCGGCATCTTTCTGTTTTAAGAACCCTCCTAAAGTGAATCTGGACCTGGAGAGCAGTGCATCTAAACACCGAAAGATGATGAAAGTTGACAGTGGAAACAAGCATGCGGTTGGCCATTCAAACCCTTATGGAAGGAGAGGCGGATCTGATTCCAGGCAGGTTGCAAGATTTTAGAAAGGATATCAGGATCGTAGTCAGCCTATATCGTATATGATAAGCCAGATTTTAAATTATGTCTATTAAAGACCTAGTATAATAGTGCCTTAGAGAAAAACGACATTAAGATGAAGTATACATTTATGGTGATACAATGCTACATGCACATATGAAGGTGCCGTGCAACTGTGTGTAGTAACCTAGTAGTTACTACTATTCAAGTGTTGGGACACAGATTACGAGTCGCGGAGGCTACGAGGATTGCAGTAGCATCAAGAACTAACGATTAACCATGTTCTGTGAGCATTGTGCAGGGAAAGAAGGGCAGAACCTCCGCCTGGTCAGATGCCCTGAGCGAAGGTCCGAAAACTGAGCGGCGAAGGCGCTCGAATGCAGCCGAAGGCGAAGGCTCAGACGCTGTGAGCGAAGGTCCGGCTACTGCGGCGAAGGCGCCCAGATGCAGCCGAAGGCGTAGGCTCGGGCGATACCTGCGGAGGCTACAGGAGTCGGCGCCAAGGTCTAGGCGAAGGTCATCCTAGGCGAAGGTTCTAGGAGCCAGGGGACTTCCCATAGGGCGGGGGTGATGGGCCGTGGGCCGCAAACGGACTAACGGTAGCAGCCCATCAAGCAAAGGCGGTCGAAGAAAAAGGCACCCAAAGTACCCCTAGCAGTTTGTATTAGAACAGGAATATTCCGAGGATGTACTGTGACCGACAAGGGGTATAATTATAAAAGTAGCCTTAGTAAGCAGTGCCCTATTGTTGGTGATCGAAGATCAGCCCGCGGCAGGTGAAGATCAGCCAGCCTCAGACCCCACCCCCAAGCAGGTGCTCCAACAACTACAAGCTCAACTGCAGAGTGCACAGCAGGAAAGAGTTAGGTTGGCGGCAACCTTTGTTGCAAACCAGAGAGTAGCCCAGACATCATTACAGGCAGCGGAGATCAAGTAACAGTTGGCAGTCCTATAGGCGGAGATACAAAGCATGCAGCAAAGTCAGCCCCAACCCAACACATCCAACCAGCTCCACTCAGCAAATCAAAGCTAGCTTAACCCTTTGCCAGGTATGGCCACCCAACCAACCTTTGGCACACCTTTCAACTTGCCACCAGTGCAAAGAACCATAGATTCAAGATCCCACTATCCGAGGGAATCCAAACTTCACCCTAGCCACCATCTTACAAGCCCATTACCCTACCCAAATTCAACAGAAGGTCGGATCAGCGCCAGTTCATCATGAGCTTTGAGGCAGTCGTAGCCTCCATAGGAGGAAATGACACTGTCTTGGCCAAGTCATTTGTCATTGTAGCCGAAGGAGATGTATTGGCATGGTACTCAATGCTGAGGTCAAGTTCAGTATATTCATGGGAGGACCTCTGAGATAAGATCATCGCTAACTTCAAAGGGTTCACCATTGAATCGTTGACATCAATGGATTTGTTTTAGTGCAAACAGAATCAAGGCGAAGCACTGAGGGATTATTTTAAGATATTTGTGCAGCTTAAAGCGAAGGCACCAAATATCCCAGAAGACGTAGCAATTGAGGCCGCAATTAAGGGCCTCCGCATCGGAGCCTTCGTAGCTCATCTAGCTCGGGAGAAGCCAAGCACCTTAAAAGAATTATACAGAGAGTTTGAGAAGTACTGCAGGTCAGACAATGACCTTCGAAGAAGGCTGGAAGAACAAAATCAAAACAAGCAGTACCAAGGAAATGACAGGAATGCTCAGAGGGGCAACAAAAGCCAAGGCCAGTCACAGCCTCAGCAAGCGCCTGATCAATAAGTTTTCAACATAGAGCAGCAAGGGAGTAGCCAGCAACGGCAACAGATGCTGGAGGCAGAACAAAATAATGCATCACAGAAGCAGTACAAAGGCAAAAAATACAATCAAAATAAGAGCTGGAACAAAAACCAGAAACAAAGTCAGCAAAGGCAGTATTGTTTCTTCTATGGAGAAAACAAAGGGCATATCACCAGAGATTGTCCAGATGCGAAAGAAACCCAGGAGAGGATAAAAAAACAGGGTAAACCTTCAACCTCCACCAGAACAACCCGCTAGGGAGGTCAACAATACCTTTGTTGTACCTCCGCAACAGTCATATTGCCCAATCTACCCAAGCCTTAACTCCAATCAAATTCACCCATCTACTTTGGCAGCCGCATACTACCCAAACTTCCTACGTGCATGGCGACCAAGCACCCAATAGCAGCGGCAGCCATGTAGTCAGCGAGAAGAAGCCAACCTCACCTACATAAACCCAAGGCCTCTACACATAACATTCATAGAGACAAGCCAGCCAGCTCAAGTGCATAATAGGCAACTTGAAGCACTACCTTCGCCACCACCTCCACCATAGCTAAACACTCCCAAAAATGAGCCCAACCCAGAAAACCAGCTCAATTCACATACACCACTACCCACCATTGGCATGATACTGCCGATAGCCGGAGGCTCCTCAGTGGAATTTTAGACAGAAAAACAGAAGAAAGACCATCTCAGGCTCATTAACAACATAGCAGTGCAGGGTCCAGTGCGCTACACAGATTCATCGAAGACACCCATCACATTCTCAGAACAAGACCTCCAGTTGGAGAGCTACCCCCATACTAATGCGATGGTGATCAAAGCCAATATAGCAAGCTAGGAAATCAATAGGGTTCTCATAGACTCTGAAAGCTCTGCTGACATCATCTTTGTCCATTCCTTTGATCAGATGAAACTAACTAGAAGCTAGCTACATCCTTTGGATTCACCACTGATAGGTTTCGGAGGAAAAAGGATCAACGCATTGGGAAAAATATCCCTGTCAATTTCTTTCGAATGCTAGGAGAATGCCAGGATAGAATACATGACCTTCGACGTAGTAGACCTCTACTACCCATACAATGCCATCTTCGGCAGGGGGTTTGCAAACAAGTTCAAAATAGCCATTCACTTGGGCTACTTATGTATGAAAATACCAACTTTGCATGGCATCATCACAGTGCATGGAAGTCAGAAGGAGGCGAGAAACATAGAGAGAGCAATCTACAAATCACAGCGCAACATCAATTCTATCGAAGCAGCAAGAAGCAACTCACCGGAGCCTCCGGACATGCTGAAGGGCAAAACAGATCTCAAAGATCAAGAAGAAACAAAGTCAGTCCCATTGGGAGATGCAGTCCCAGACAGAAAAGTCATTATCATAGGCAACTTGTTGAAAGAAGAAGCAGAACTCATAGAAACCTTAGCCAAGAACAAAGATGTCTTCGTCTGGTCAGCCTCCGATCTCAAAGGAGTCAGTAGGGATATCATATAACACTCACTTGACATCAACCTTAGAATGAAGCCAAGGAAGCAGCGACAAAGGAAAATGTCAGAGGACAGAATCTTAGCGGCGAAGGTAGAAGTACAGAGGCTGTTAGATGCAAACGTCATTAGAGAAGTCAAGTACTCAGAATGGCTGGCAAATGTTGTACTAGTACCAAAGAAAAATGAAAAGATGAGAATGTGCATATACTTCATAGATCTTAACAAAGCATGCATGAAAGACCTATTTCCGCTACCAAGGATAGACACCTCTGTCGATAAGGCGGCAGGATGCAAGCGCTTCTCCCTCCTAGACTATTTTTTAGGATATCACCAGATCTGGCTCAACAAAGAAGAGGAGGAGAAGACAAGTTTCACTACCCCCTTCGGAACTTATTGCGACACCAAAATGCCCAAAGGACTAAAGAACGCAGGCTCAACCTTTGCCAGAATGACAAAGGTAGTCCTCGGCCCACAGCTGCAGAAAAAACATCATAGCTTATGTCGATGACATTGTGGTAATGAGCAAGAATGAAGAAGACCACATAGCAGATTTAAAGGAAACCTTCGCCAACCTCAGGGAAGCAAGCCTAAAACTAAACCCAGAAAAGTGCATTTTTGGTGATAGTAGAGGGAAGGTGCTCGGGTACATCATAGAACCCGAAGGCATTAGAGCTAACCCAAAGAAGACGAAGGCCATAATTTCGATGGTGGAACCATCAACCAAAAAAGAAGTCCAAAAGCTCACAGGGAGGATAGCAGCATTGAACAGATTTATCTCAAAGTCAGCCGAATGTAGCCTCCCTTTCTTCAAGGCTCTTAGAGGCGGAGACAAAGTTAAATGGGGGCTAGAACAATCGAAGGCCTTCCACCAGCTCAAGAACTACATGGCAAGCAAACTCCTAGTAATAGTACCAGATCCAGAAGCACCACTACTGCTATATGTGGCAGCCTCTAACCATGCAGTCAGTGGGGTACTTGTTCAGGATAAAGAACAAGAGTCGAAGGTCATTCAACATCCTATCTACTACATCTCAGAAGCATTATCAGGAGCAAAGCTGAACTATACAGAGATAGAAAAAATAGCATACGCAGTATTGACTTCTTCAAGAAAATTGAAGCACTTCTTCCGAGCACATGAAATTATAGTGCCCTCTTAGCAACCACTTGGGGACATACTCAGCAACAAAGAAGCCTCCAAAAGAATAGAAAAATGGCCAACAGAACTATCACAGTTTGAACTCAACTATGTATCAAGAACAACAATCAAATCACAAGCACTGGCAGATTTTATGGCAGATTGGACACCTTCGGCACACCAGCTCTCACAACCCTAGGTACAAACTTGGACCCTCTATTCAGACAGGGCTTGGGGGCATCTGGGAGCTAGAGCCTCCGCCATATTGATAGCTCCATCAGGCCTCCGCACAAAATATGTAGCAAGGTTATAATTGAAGACAACAAATAATATAGCAGAATACGAAGGCCTTATATTAGGCCTCAACAAGGCGAAGGCACTCGGAGCAAAAACATTACTAGCAAAAACAGATTCCTAAGTCATAGCAGGACAAGTCGAGAATGAATACATAGCACGGGAACCAGAATTGATCAAATAACTGGCCACAGTAAGGGCTCTTGAGCGAAGATTCCAGGGATTCACCCTAAAGTATATACCAACAGCAGAAAATGCGGAGGCAGATGAGCTGGCAAAAGCAGCAGCAAACAACTTGCC